ATGGTTTCTCTCACCAATCTTCCTTCTTCCCAGCTATGGCTGATTTTCCCTCAGTTAGGATCTTCCACAGAAGTACAAGCTGCTGCCTTCCCTTGTCTTCCTGTGGAAAGATCTTTGCCTAAGTAGGTTTCTCACTTGTATTCAGGCCCAGAGACTTCAACCCTCCTTGGTTGAAGGACCGATCTTTCTCAGCTTACACGAATTCTTGCCCCATGTGTTCATCTAGTGATGGATGCCAAAACGGTGTCTGGTCTTGTTTATATCGTCCTAAATTCAATGACCTGGTTTTAGGAGGCAGGATGACCTCATGCTGTTCTTCCCTGGTTCCCACCCTCCTGCTGATTTTTATGTAAACAGACCTTCCATTGTTTTTCATCACATCTTGCTCAGTTTCTTGGATACAAGTAGATAGCTGTGATGTTTCCCTCTGGGAGAGATCTTTTTCCTCTTTGTTTTGGTCACAGACTGTAAAGCATAATATAAATAAGTATCCATAATTCCTTATGTAGTGTTAATACATACAGTTCACAATAATATTGATCACCAGTGTGTTATAGGCTTTCATAAAACACCTCACTTGATAAACTGCATATACAGTATATTGTATACCCTCAATTGATTAAATTACTTATCACCTGAGGTTCAGACCCTGGTCTTTATAGCCCAGGTAAAGTTTCTCTTCCCTACTGGAAGCTGTTTCCCCCCCTACATGGCTTTGTTTACCTAGTATGTAAATGAGACCTTCATTGTGTCTGCCTGATGACGGGACTGGTCAGAGAAGCAAATACACATTCCTTTGTCTAGGGCAGACCTATTTACCAACTTCCCCAACATGCCTGTCTTAAATACTTTTTAGTCATCATTCCAGCATATATCCATAATTCTTAATACATGGCATGCCACATGCATCACACAAGAATATTAATGATCAGAGAATTATTTGTTTTCCAATGTCATGTTACATCAGTGGTTCTCAAACTTTTGTACTGGTGACCCCTTTCACTTAGCAAGTCTCTGAGTGCGACCTCCCTTATAAATTAAAAACACTTTTAAATATATTGAATACCACTATAAATGCTGGAGGCAAAGCAGGTTTGGGGTGGAGGCTGAAAGCTTGCGACCCCCCATATAATAACCTCATGACCCCCAGAGGGGTCCTGACCCCCAGTTTGAGAACCTCTGCATTACATGACACCTTTTTGATACAGACAGTAACTACAGCGAGTTAGGGTACACTGAGTTGGTCAGGCCAGCTTAAACTCATTACCTGATAGCAGTGAGCTCCTTGCCTTCTGGCACTCTGTTGCTCTTAGCGTCAGACTTCCCCCTCCTACAGAGCTGCAGGAAGGTTAATCACTGACTGACCCAGAGGCAGGTCAGACCCTTCCTTTCTGGACAGGGCATCTGCCATCATATTTTCTTTCCCCTTTAAATAGGGGTTTTGGCACCTCTGTCTGTTTAGTCTACAGGACATAATATCAGAGAGTATCCATAATTTCTTCTTCGAATGATGGTCCCTACTGTATTCCACTCTGGATTATGCATGCACACTATGCGTTACGGAGCTGGAGAGTTTGAAAGTAGTGTCCATTGGTCCATGCATCTGTCCTGGTTCATCTTGTGCCTCCGACTGGGGTGATAAAGGGAAGGGCGGACTGACTGCCTCCAGTTCCTTCTCACTGCTGTATGCTCTGGGTCGGAACCATTAGTGTCCTCAGCTTTGGCTTCATGCTACAAAACAATTGCCATCTCAACTGCTTCATTCGCAATTCAGATTGTACACGGTCATATTGGCAGCAATAATTCCATCACCCTGTGGTTCACGGCTCTCAATAGGAAGGACACTTACTTTCACATAGATAGTATCAGAGGGGTAGCCGTGTTAGTCTGTATCCACAAAAACGACAAGGAGTCTGGTGGCACATAGATATTCACCCCACATACAGACACTTTCTTGGATTTAAGCTAGGCGCCGACTATTTTCAGTATAGAGTACTGCCCTTCGACGCAGCAGCCCGCCCCCCCCCACAGAGTCTTTGTCAATGTATTTTCAGTCATAGTGGCTTATGTCAGACTTCCTTGTCTTTCCATACCATGTCAATTGGCTCCTTGCTGCCAAATCTCACCAGGAAGCCTATGCATCAACCTCTATGATGCTCCACCTCCTTTCTTCACTGGGAATCAGCATAAACACAGAAAAAAATCTGGTCCCTCCCCAATCTCTAGACTTTATCAGGGCAGTCTTGAACTCTGTCACTCCAAGGGCGTACCTGCCCACAGACAGATTCCAGACCATCAGCAATGATTTCCTAGGTCTCATCGCAAGCAACACTCAGGTACTGGTCAAAACATATCTTTCCCTACTTGGCCACATGGCTTTGTGCACTTACATCACCCCATTTGCAAGACTCCATCTTCAGTGCCTGCAAGCTTGGCTACAGTCCTGATACTCCCTAAGCCGCCATTCCATGAACCTTGTGGTGACAGTCCCGACCAATCTACTGTCCTCCCTCCTATGGTAGACAAATCCCCATTATGTATATGTGGGGGTCCCTTTTCTCCTCTCCTCTCCAGAGAAAACTATAATTATGGACGCATCCCTGCTAGTTTGGGGAGCCTATATGAACAGCCACACAGTTCGAGGGGCTAGTGCAGTGGTTCTCAAATGTTTGTACTGGTGACTCCTTTCACATAGCAAGCCTCTGAATGCGACACCCCCTTATAAATTAAAAAACACATTTTTATATATTTAACACCATTATAAATGCTGGAAGAAAAGCGGGGTTTAGGATGGAGGCTGACCAGTCGCGACCCCCCATGTAATAACCTTGCAACCCCCTGAGGGGTCCCGACCCCCAGGTTGGGAACCCCTGGGCTAGTGTATCTTGAAAATCCAGATGCACGTCAATATCCTGTAACTATGAGCAGTACGGAGGGTGTGAGAATACTTTCTCCCATTCATCCACTCTCACTGTGTCCTTATAATGTCAGACAACTCTACGCCTGTCTTCTACCTCAATAAGCAAGGGGGAGCGGGATCGGCCTCCCTGTGTGCAGAAACAGTCAACCACTGGAATTGGTACATCAACAATCACATCACACTATCACCCACTTACTTTCCATGAGAGCTGAATGTGCACTCCGACTTCCTCAGTAGACACTTTACACTCGACCACGAATGGGAACTTCACAAAATTTTCACTCTATGGCAGTGGTGGGCAACCTGGCGGTTACATGCGGGCTGCATGTGGCCTGACAGGGTAATCTGCTGGCAGGCTGCCCAACCATTTGTTTACATTTGCACGGCCGCCCGCAGCTCGTAGTGGCTGCGGTTCGCCCTTTCCAGCCAGTGGGAGCTGCGGGCGGCTGTGCAAATGTAAACAAATGATCTGGTGGCCCACCAGCGAATTGTGTAGCTTGGTGTTTTTTTATGTGGAGTTAATTGATTGTCAGTTAAATTGAGGTATTTTAACTTGTCTGCTGAAGGCTGGTCTGGATAGATCACTAATGTTTGTTACAGGGCACATCATGGCAATCATTTAACTTGAGTGTAGACAAGCCGGAGGGAGGGAGGCAATCCAAAAAGAGCAATACTGCGTGAATTTACAGTGAATCTTCTAGAATGTAAACGGATGATGTCAAATTCTTTAGACCAAACAGATCTGATTTTCATGAGGTAGTTATCCATCACTGACTTAGTTAGTTTGCTCACTTTTGCAAAATCAAAAGACATTTTTCCCTAATATTAGTATTGTAGACTCAAACAGGTGTCTGAATATTAAGCTGTTGTCGTTGTCTTTATTATTATTATTTAACATGTTTGTTCTGGTAGCGCCTAAGGTCCAACCAACTGGGGGCCCATTATGCTGTACAAACATAGAATAGTAGATGGTCCCTGTCTCAAAGAGCTTACAGTCTAAATAGACAAGATAGACGCAAGTTGGGGGAAAGAGCGTAATACACAAGCAGACTGAACAGTGTGATGACAGCAAACTGCATGTTAGTTCCATGATATTTTTTTTCGGAAGGGAGATTTACTTACAAGAGGATCAGCTAACTGGAGAGAAAAGGGAACGGAGGGGAAGGAGGGTGAGGGGGACAGGGGAGGGGTGAAGAGTGTAGGAGGGGCAGTGAGCTGAAGTGAAGAGCTGAGACTGTGGGGGAGGGGAGGATTACAGCAAACAATCAATCAGCACAGGGCACAGAAAGTCAAGTCAAAATTGTGGAAAGTTCTCTGAATGTCCCAAGGTCTCTGCGTTGGCTGCTTCTGCTTCTACTGGCTGGGGTTTCTGGCTGACTCTTCTCTGCGGTTTTCTCCCAAGCCCGCATAAGAGGGAGGTGGGGAGGCTACATCTGGGTCCTAGTGCCTCCAAGAGTTGTGTGTGTGGTGGGGGGAGTGTCTCTCCTGTACAATTCTGTGTCCAGAGGGTTACTGGGGGGAGGGATGTGCTCAGCTGAGCCCCATTTTACCCTTTTCCCCCAGTGCAGCAGCCCCAGCTTTGGCTGCTTCTGCCCTTGCTTGCTGGAGTTTCTGGCTGGCTCTTCTCTGCAATTTTTTATTGTCTGATTACTATGAGTGTGGTTCTCCATCCTAGGAAAATCTTTGAAAGGAACAGAACTCTTTTTTAATAAAAACTTTGTGAAAGTGCCTTTTTAACACTGCCTTTCCTCAAACAGTTAAAAAAGTGACAGTCCTTTGTGATGCTACATTTCTTAAATTTATAACAACTCTGTGTACTAGTTCTGGGAGTGAAATTTAGCAATAGGTACAATTTTACTGGAGAACTGCACTACATAACGAAATGGGGTGTGTTTTTTATGCTTTCTAGTCTTCTCTACTTTCCATAATGTCAGATAATTAGATAAGTGGTAATTTTTAAGGTAACTACTCTCCTACATTTTATTTTTCCTGTTAAATGGTCCCAATGAATCTCTTGATTAGGATGAAAAGGATGGGAAAAGGCAAAAACTACTGTTGAATTTTCTTTCCTCTATAATAGGGCTTTATTTGTCCTATGTGTATGAAATCTCATGGATCTGCTGAAGAACTTTTCAAGCACTATGAAGTAGTTCACGGATCTGGCATCGATTCAAGTCATGGAGGGGATGAGCATCCTTCACCGAAAAGGTAGAACAATATTAATTTGTGCATATAGTCTTCTGTCAATGTTAAGTATTTCTAATTACATTTAAGCATGTACTAATCTGAACAGTTAATTATGCAATGAAGTATTTAAATCGTAATGCCCCATTTCTAAAATCAATTAAAATATTAGTTTAATACTATGCTAGCTGATACTGGACTGGTGAAAGATGAAAATTGGGTTTACATATTGATATTGTTAAATCCATTGGTTACTTTTAATGCTGTTGATCAGTTGGTGCTGTTGACTCTTATGTATGAGGCTGGAGTTGATGGGGGTAGCTCATGGGTGGCTTGATTCCCTTCTTATTTGAGCATTCCCAGAAATTGATTTTGGGCTCTTGTTCCTTGTCCCTGAGGATTCGTTCATGCAAGGTTCCACATAGTTCCATCTTGGCTCCCCTTCTGTTCAATGGATTTGTGGGGCTGTTGTAAATTTCAGCCTGTATTACTTCCAGTTTATGCATTCCATGATTTTCGTCTTGGTTGTGCATAGCAATAAGATGGTGAGCAGCTTTTGAGTGTGTTCACATACTGTGTGGGAACACGTGATGCTAATATAATCAAGGTGTAGATTGTATAACTCTGATGGGTTCAACTAATATCTTGACTAGCTGTTGTCTTAGCCGTGGAGCAAACCCTCTGTGATTGATAAAAATAATAAGTCAAAAATGATAAATAATTTAATTAAAACATTGATAACCTATTGAACTCATAAAGAAAAGAACACAAAATTTAACATGCTATGGCTATTAAGTTGGAGTACGTTGTGGGAAAATAAAAATAAAAATATCCAAAACAAAATCCAAAATCTACTTGTCACTGTCTGTAGGAAGAAGGAGCTCCCATTTCTTCACAATTGCTATTGGGATAGGCTGAGAGCCATCTTAGGCATTGACAGAAGCAAGGCAGCAGGTCACAAAATAGCAGGGCAGGACATGCATCAAAACCGCATTGCTCACAGCCCAGGTCATTGGAGATCTTCTTTTCACACACTGATCTGGAGGCTTCTTCTGACTGACAGTTCTCCAGTTGGCATGGGATCTTGATGACTTCACTGAGCTGAACATGCGCATTCTATTAAATACATTAGTGGTAGTGGAGCTGTCAAAGAGTCTGACAAGACCCTTTCTCTGTAGCTCAGCAAAGAAAAGAGTCTACACTAACATTTGAGGCTTTTAAATGTTTTGAATGTTTTTTAACATGTTTCTCTTATTACATGTAAAACAAATTATTTCTGCTCAAATTGGTGAAACAACCATTCAACTAAACTAATAAAAATGATTTTTCTAGGATATTTTTTAGAAAGTAAACAGCATCATGACTTAATGATGACATTAAAAATGAATTAGGTGGGGCTAACATTAAATACCCTCCCCAGTCATTCACCAGTTAAGACTTGTGAACATGGGCTAAGGCTGGGGATTAGGCCTTTGGGAAGGTTTGGGTCTTTGGGAAGGTGTGGGTCTGCTCTTAAAAATGAGTCTGTACAATTGGCATTGCAGGTTTCGATGTTTATTTTCATCTGCTTATCAAATGTGCTCAGTTTACAAGTAAAAAGATGGGGATTCTTTTGTTTGCTTTTTTTTCTGTCAACGTGCCAGCTCTGCAAATTCAGCATAGTCTCTGAGGGTCAAGCTGAGTTCTTTCCATCTGGTGTATCATCACCAGTAATTAATAAAGGTTCTATAGGTCAAATCGTGCCCTCAGCAACACCTTGTCTTCAGTGAGGTTGCACAGGTGTAACTGACTGGAATGCGGTAAACAATTCTGTTGATGATACACAAGATGGATTGAATCCACAGCTCACTCAGTCTTAGTTTTGTGTTTTGTGGGGAAAGAAGACAAAGAACAATACCAATTTACTTTGCTCACTAAAGTGAGTAGATGTGACCCTCAATACACATTTGGGACAGATTTGCTGAGTAAGATAATGTTTTTATAGTCATTTTCACACATCACATAAAAGAGGAACTTAGAGTATATCTGGATCAAGCATCATATGTCAGATTTAGGAGGGTTGCATAGAAGAAGGCCTGAAGACAGAAGTGGGAGAAGGACTGGGAGTCATGCAGCTCAAGGGGAGCAAAAAGAAATAAGAGTTAGGGCTTGTCTACACAGGAAAGATTTACCAGTTCTTAAGATGATATAGTTATACCAGTATAATTCCCTGTGTGGACACCCTTTTATTGCAGAATAAGAGTGGCCTTTTCAGTTGAACATAAACCTCTTTCCAGAGTGACATAAGCATAAATGCGGAAAAAGACTCTCTTTTACTGAAATGAGTGTCCACACGCAGAGTTATACTGGCACAGTATAAATATATTGGTTTAAATTCGTGCCTCAAGTTATACCAAATAAACTTTTCCATTTAAGGCTTAGAAAGGTGAGATATAGCAAACTGTTTTGGAATTGGGCCAGGAAAAGCACAGTATTGTGAAAAGTGCCATTTTTTAAAATATAAGCCAAGGTATGAATTTAAAGTGACAAAGTTATATCAGTATAACTCCTCTGCGTGAACACTTTTATTCAAGTATAAGAGAGCTTTTTCAGTTTAGCTTAAACCTCTTCCCAACTGACATAAACTAAACTAAAAAAAGCCACTTTTATAAAGAATAAGTGTGTCCACATGGGTGGTTATGGTGGTATAACTATATCTGTATGACTATGTCAGTATAACTGGTAAAACATTCCTATGTAGAGAAGACCTAAATCCCATTATTGCTTTAAATAGATAACTTACAATATAGACATAACTAGTGAGACACTAGTAATATTTATTGGAGATTTTCTTTTCTATTTAGTGAATTGTTGTGTAGTGTTTTTTGTATCAGCCTTTGGTTGTGACTGGGGCCTCAGATTATTACTGTATACCAATAATAAGAGTAAGAAATAATGTGTTGTTGGCAGTAATATGGCTGCTACATTCCACATTAAGGGTGGCTGCATTTCTGTGATGTGATGTGATTCTTATGTGTATAGTTTTTTAATTAATCAAGGTGAATTGAGATTTTAGGAAGGTGCTATGCAAACTGAGTAATAACTATTTCCTCCTCATATTTTGTTTTCCTGGGCGACTAGAACATCAGGCTTCTGAGTGTAATTTGAGAGTTACAAGCCCAGGGTTTTGAATGTCAGCACACTCAGGCCCTGAAATTGGTGTAACTATTGGACACATTGAATTGCTGTTTGAGTTAAATATTATATAACTGTGTATTTCAGAACAAATAGGATAGCATGCTGTCTCCTAGCATTGCCCCTTGACATTATATGGGAAATGAGGGGGAATTAACCTGCACTTTTAATAACATGGACTATAACACAGCTAAACATTTTAATACACTATCTTGCAATTCTAAAGTTCTATTATTTAGTTGATACAATCAAGTAAAACAGAATATAGGTCTAAATCAGTTTATTTGCATATTTAACCCTTCTAATGTTTTGGGGTCTGTCTGACCCCAACGCACACAAAAATGTAAATAAAAATTGTTATGACAAACCTGTACTTCTTCATATGTTAAGTATGCTCAAACTAGGATGGGGTCAATCTTTCCACATTGGGTTTATTATCTTACCTATTGTGCTTTTTGTGTTTAAAAAAAAGGTCACCAAAAAGGTAATGGGGTCAGTTAGACCACCTCAATGTTAGTCAATGGGAAAAATGAAAGTACTACACTTTCAAGGTCTTTGGGGGTCTCCTGAACCCCAAATACATAATAAAATAAATAAAACATGATAGGCAAACCACTGGCTGTTTTTTTCTTTAAGTATTCTCTAAGTATGATAAGGACAACTTGTTAGCACTGGTTTTATCTTCATATCCTATTGTGGTTTTAGTGTAGCAAAAAAGGTCATTCAAAAGTTATTAGGGTCAGTTAGACTTGAAATTAATTATGCAACTATTCCAGCACAGATTGTTTTTATGTTGAGGCAGCAATTATGATATGATTATATCAGTCTTTCAGCATTGTTTTTATCTTCTCTGTTTCAGTGTTTTTTGTTTTTCAAAAAAAAAAAAGCAAGCACCAAAAGGTTCTTGGGAATCTGTGAGAGTCCAGATAACATTTGGCTTATGTATCATCACAGTTGTCCAGCAAATTGAGTTTCTTTGAAGATGATGCCATCACATTGGTTTTCTGGGAAGCCTACAGTTGCTAGGAAGAGTTTCTGGGGATGCAACGATTGTCAGATGCATTTTCTGAAAAATCTATGCTTGACAGACGCTGTGGCTGGGGCAGAGACGCACTATTGGATTGCATATGCACATTGCATGTCTGAAGGCATATGTTGTTTAGATTTTGTTGAATCACAATACATCTTTGAATAAGAGGTGAATGTTTCTCAGGGACCTGGGTACAGAAATTTTTTGCCCACTGGTACATGAAAGGAACATTCCAGCCTTGCCTAAGGCATCTAGGGAAGTAGTGTCTAGTATCCTGGATACTGATCCAGAGACTAATGGGGAAGATGTTGCATCTGTTCCAGGGAATGAGATAGAAAAACACATCAAAAATGTGTGAAGTGTAAAAACTTACTATTTTTAGAAGATATGTCAGTTATTAGCTCCATTTGTTCAAAGTAGTAGGCCATTTATTGCAATTTTGCTGTGTTTGTGCCTTTTATATTGTTGCTGTTGCTATCTATTTTCATTGTCTAAACATGGGGTCAGTTAGCCCCCAATACCTGTAGAGTGTGTTCCTTTTTTAAAAAACGTGTTTCATCAGACCCCAGCACAAGTACTGTGTAATGTGCTTCTTCGAATAATGTCCCTAGCTGTGCTCCACTGCAGGTGTGCTTGCATCTCTGTGCTGTTGATGAATCAGTTAGTTCATGTGAAACAGGGAGGTTACCTTAAGAATGAATTTTGGATGTGGCCAGAGTGTAACATTGTCCCGAAAGAATACTGTGAAGGGGGGATGTGCACCAGAGCCGCTATTTCTCCTTGTCTCCTGGCCGAAGTAATTGCTATCAGGCAGGCCATTTTCATTGAGAGATGAAAGTGAATAGGTGGCCCTGGGTTCAAAAGGAGGCCTCTCAACACCAGGTTTAAGTCCCATGTGGGAGTAGGAAGTCAAGGGGGCTTAGCACATCGCCTAGTCTTGTGGCACAGCACAAGGAGAGACCGTGCATGTGTGGGCCTAACGGACACTGCTACCGAAGTTCTCTGATCAGCAGCCCAGAAAAGCAAGCACACCTATAGTGGAGCACCCATAAGGACACACATCTCGAAGAACCATTGTTACTGCACGAGGTGAGTAACTACTTCTTCTGAATCTAGAAAGTTTTAACTTATTCATAATTTTATAGTTCATTGGTTACAAGTAAAGTCAGTTTTAAACACATCCCATGTGTTCTCTCCAATTTTCACATATTAGGGGTCTCCAAGACCCCAATATGGAAATAGTTGAGTTATTTTTGGTCCAATACAAGGGTGAAAAGAAAATTCCATAAACCTTAGTGCAATTACTCATTCTGAGAATAGACCAAATACATTAGACTGAAAATTATTAAGATATTTAAGGTGACTATGCACTTTTTAAATCTGGTGATTAGTGTGAAAATGAGATAATGGATGGCAGTTCAGTTCGTGTTGCATTTTTTATTTTTTGAAATGTAAGACTGCATTAAGACACTGATCAAATGTGAGATGTCCTGTATCCAGCTTATTTAATAACAAATCTGAACAGGAACTATTGCATGTACTGGAAGTTTAATCAACAAAATTTAACCCTGACTTATTAATTTCTCAACTCCCGGATCTTTATTCAGCAATGAAATATCACTACTCCGACAAGAAGTCCAAGATTTGCAAGCTTCACTTAAGGTTGGAAATTAATTTTACTTGAATATAGTTCATGGTTTCAAATTGTGAAGTGTGCTAGCAGCTTACATTGCGAGCCTGTAATACACTTTCTCTCCCCTCCCTTTGTCTAGGAGGAGAGATGGTATTCAGAAGAGCTGAAGAAAGAATTAGAAAAAGTGCAGCGCCAGCAAGTAATTGCTTTAAAATACTTGAAGCAGGTTTACAACAAGCAGTTTATTATCATCTTTGACATTGAAGATTAATACCTTGTTGTAAGGCACGTGGCCCAATTCAATTAGTTCCATAAATTGATTCCTGAAGTGTTTTAAAAAATCAGTTGAATATGCAATGAAATAAATGTGTATGAGGTTAAAGGTGCTATGATTGTTCATTACTACATGCCCTTTAATTTCCAATCAGATTTTTCCTGACAGTAGGCCCATTCAGACCATGCTCAGTTTATCTGTCTCTTCACTGTATTTTTCTGTAGTGAATTATTGCTTCCAAAGTATTTCTGAAAATGGCAATAGAATCTTAAAAACTCGCAAAACCTTCTCCAAAAACACCCACCAAACAAAGTTAATTGTAGCCTCTTGCACATTATTAAACTTGCCTCCTGAAACAATGGAGCTCTAATTTATTTTCATATATAGCAGAGTTGCTTCAGAACTGATTTATACAAACCTCAGAAATAGGCATTGGGGTGAATTTCGCTCTATATGTGAAGGATTAAAAGTATAGAATTGCTTGAACCTTTTGGGAAAATCTGTCTTTCCTTTCTTTGCTGCTGCTTCTCTTGCACGTAATAGTGCATATAACAACATATATTGCTGTAGAGGCAGATTTCAATATAACAGAAGGCTCGTTAGCATTGGAGTCTTGCTGTTCTGCATCAGTATGATAGCTAAGTGATATAAGAGGATGGCTAGTCTTCTTGGCCTTTTCTGTCCTAAATTGCTCTGCAGCATTGAAGCACATCAGTCTATTTTCGTAACCATTCTAAGAGGCTTCAAGTATGGAATTCTTTCAAATGCTCAGGAAATGTCTGCTATTGAAACTTTTGTTATTACCTTTACTCTGTCTAGTGACACACTTATTCTTCATTTTTTCTTTTCTTAAGGAATCTAAGCCTGATGGAGTGACAACTGCTGCATCTACAGGTGAGAAATATTTTAATAGAGAAGTTTCTACATTGCATTGAAATACTACAGTTCTCTGTGTTAGAAAAATTAAGTTAAGTGAAACTTCAGACTTGATGAAAAATACTGTTTCCTATATTAAAAGGCTAAAATGGTGCAATTATGTAATGTCTTCTCTTGCCTACATTTTTTTTCAATAAGTTTATAGGGACACGTAAGGTTGCCTTGTTCATTTTTAGAGTAAAGAAACATTAAAAAAAAGGTTGATTGGTTCTATCATTTCTAGGATAAAGGAGGTGAAATTATTGTGACCATAAAAGTACTTCTGATCATGGTTTTGATTTCTGAACATGTTCTTAATCATTTTAAATATCCAACCAGCCATTGTGCTGAGGAAGACAGAGTGATTGTTGACATTTGAATTACACCAATTGTCAGTGCTCATTCTGTTGACTTCAGTGCCAGTCTTCCCTGCTTGCTGCCAAAGAAAACACTTTTTTAAAAATCTGCATGTTCTTAATTTTTTTGTTCCATGTTATATTTGCATGAGACACTCATCGAATAATAACTTTCTTATGTGTACACACACAATCTCTGGCTGATCCTTATTAAATAACTTCTGACTGCACCTCAGGGCTCAGAAATTAGCAGTGTACAAAAAGTGACCAAAATGGATAAACTAATTTCCATTGGTTAGCTAGATTATGAGCTCAATCCTGCAAAGTGCTGTGCTCACTGTCCTAGTCCAGCAAAGCACTTGAGCACATGCTTAACTTTAAGCATATGAACAGTTCTGTTGAAGTGAATTGAAGGTTAAGTGAGCTTTGGTGAATTACTCATTTGTAATGCTCTTTTATCAATATAAGTTTCTGTGTAACCTCTGATTTTAGTTTTCTCAATAAATACTACTGTTTTTGAGCTAGAATCATTAGAACGGCAACTTGAAGAGACCCAAGTAGAAAATTTTAATATTAAGCAGATGAAAGACCTGTTTGAGCAAAAAGCCGCACAGCTGGCTACTGAGATTGTAGGTAAGTACATAAAATTATTATGCAATCGGTTCTTCTTTTAATTAAAACCTGAATGAATGATCTTTTGCATAACTTCCTTCTTTACTAGATATTAAGGCAAAGTATGATGAGGAAATGAGTCTTCGAGAAAGTGCAGAGGAGAAAGTGACAAACCTGATGCAAGAACTACAGAAAGAGAGAGCCATAATAGAAGATTTAAAGACTGAATTGGTAATTCATACCACATTTTTATTTATTTATTTATTTATTTATTTATTCGGCCTTTCCCAAATGAGAGGGAGAGAGTTTTTAGTCATTTGCCCATTCTAAACATAATCTTAAAATAGACTATCATTGTTTACTTAGACAGTGATTTATTTGTGAGAGAAAGAGCGGCTCAGAAAATCCCTTCTTCTAAACTATCTATTCCATTGCTCTAAACTTCCAATAACTTCCCAGCCAAGGAATGTATATTTTGCCTGCTCTGTTTATTCAGTTATTTGCATTATTGCTAGGTATGTATGACATGATGCTTGTTTGTGCTCTGTTCAGAGGCCTCTGTGTGGCTTCCCTCATTTCAGGACTTTCATAAACAAAATATTAATCCTCATACGTGTTTTACTTAGGCCTAATTTTGCAACCCTTACTCTCGATGATTAGAATATACTCATGTGAATAGATCCATTGTTGTTGACTTCAATGGGTGTCTCTATATTAGCCTTTTTCCCCTCATGTTTTTCACTGTTGCTGTCACCGGGCAACTGCATTCATAACAGCAGCTCTGCCCAGACCTTGGTGATGTGCTGGTTAAAGGCTGGCACCTGTCATCACTTTGTCTACACTGGTGTTACCGTTGCTCTTGGCTGCCCAGGGCACACGTATTCCAAGAGTGTGGCTCCACAGAGGCAAAATACTAAAGAAAAGTTATTCCTAGTAACCCTTTTTCACAATCATGGTCTAAGAGGAAGCTACCCAGCAGCCTTTCTTCCACATAAGGAAAAGTAGAGTAGCCAGGAGGCGCTTTCTAGCCTCCTGTCATCTTCATTCACTCACTCTACTGAGAAACTTGGGCTCTGGATTTTTCTTTTCCTCTTCTGTATTGCTGTTGATTAGTGGACTTTCTTCATTTCTCTGTCCACCCCTTCCTGCCACTGCAATCCTTCATCTGTGCAATCTCACTCTCCTGGACATTTTGCTTCTGTCCCTCCTTCTATCCTTCCTCTCTCTGTCCCGTCTCATCTTTATTCTCTTTCCTGTTCCCTGTCCAACACCAACAGTCCCTTCCTCCCACCCACTTCAGCTCCAAGTGCTACTTTCCCCTCCAAAAGCCGACCTAAAACTTTTTTTGGGGTAACACGTATAAAACAAATATGTAAACAACCCATCCGTCCATGGAACTAACATGATGTATGGCTTTATGCAGTGGTGGTGTTGCTGTGTTGGTCCCAGAATATTAGCAATACAAGGTGGGTGAGGTAATATCTTTTATTGAACCAACATCCGTTGGTGAGAGAGACAAGGTTTGAGCTACATAGAGCTCTTCTTCTTCTCTGGGAAATGTACTGAAAGTGTCACAGCTAAATACAAGGTGGAACAGATTGTTTAGCATAAATAGCTAACACATATTTCAGGGGACCATTCAAGGTGAAGTAGCCTGTTAACAGCTCTCCAGTCACGGGGGCATTTACTGCACTGGTTAAGGTACACCATAGGTTGTGGTAGGCATGTGTAGGACCCATGGACCTTGAAAGGTGTGTTGTGGGGAGTGTTGATTATAGCAGAAATGGAGATATGTCTACAGTTTTGCATCTGTTCTGACAATGTCTGGTGCTACTTTGAGTCGGTGGGCCCTGATCTGCATGGAGCTTGCGTCTGATGAGGAGCTTGGAGAGTGATTGGGGGCTTGTTTGAAGACCAGAAGAGGAGGTTCAGGAAAGGTTTATTTCAGGATAATGTCCACATTGAGTATAAGTTGTAATCGTTTGATGATACCCCCGTATGGGTTCTAGTGTGGTGTGGTAGGTGAAAAGTACTGTTGTGCGGTCGGAGGGGGTTTTATTTCTGTATTGAAGCAGGTTCTCTCAGGGTGTTTGGATGGCCCATTCCATGATGCTATCTACTTCTCTGGTGGAGAGTCCTTGTTTGGTGAAGGTGGTTTTAAGTGTATATATCCTGGACTCTCTCCTCAGAGCATATTCTTTGGTATCTGAGTATCTGGAAATATGTGTTAACTACTAGGCTAAACAATCTGTTCCACCTTGCATTTAGCTGTGACGTTGTGAGTACATTTCCCAAACCTGACAGAGTGCTCTGTGTAAGCTCAAAAGCTTGTCTCTCTCACCAACAGAAGTTGATCCAATAAAATATATTACCTCATCCACCTTCTCCCTGTGATGTATAGCTGCGATTACCACCCTGGCTGCTTTTCCTGTAAGGTTTATCTTTTCCTTCCACTCCTCATCTGTTCTGTTGTTCTTTTATATTGTAAGCTTTTCAGGGCAGGGACTCTGTCTTTATGAAAGTGAAAACAGTGCCTAATGCCCCACTCCTGATTGGGGTCTTTGGGTGCTACAGCAATATATATAATAAAAACAGTGATAAATAATACCATTCTCTGTTTAGATGAGAAATGAAAGTGTATTTGAAAATAAAGAGTCTGGAAATAACCCAAAATAGTTTCAGCAGGAAATCTTAAATGAATTTGGAAGCTTTTGCAGAGAGTGAATATGAAGTGATACTGAAAACATATCTGTCAGTATTAGAAATCATTATAGGTAGTAATTATTGTTATGCTGCCTTTCAGCTGCAAAGGCCTGGTGTGGAGGATGTTTCTGTTTTAAAGAAGGAGCTGATCCAAGTTCAGACATTGATGGACAAGATGACTTTGGAGCGTGAGAGAGAATCAGAGAAGCTGAAAGATGAGTGCAAGCATTTGCAGGCAGAGTATGCGAACTCAGAGGTAATGAAGCCAAACAAAAAGGCTTAGAACATGTTTTAGCTTTGTTGTGATTTTCATATTATAATGGTGAATGTTAATCCATCACACTGAATAGAACTTTGCTTTCTTCCCTAACTAGTCTGGTAGGGAGTGTTTCATTAGATTAGAGTAAATTGATACAATCCGTGCATCGGTATCCAGACACTAAATCTTTTTTAAAAAATTCTCTTTTTAGCATGAAAAGTTAGTTTTGTACAGCCATGTAGAGGAGAAGCAACCTCCCCTGCTGGTATATGTTGTGATCTCTCCAGCGAGACAGGGAAACAGACAGAGCAATAAATTTCTGCCTCAAAAAGAAAAAAAATATTTTGAGCTTTCCTAAATTGTGAGCTGTAATACAGAGACAGAAACTAATTGTTACCTAAGGTTATGGTTGCTACTTAACATTAAAATTGAAACATATGTTTACAAAACAGGGTTACAGTTTTAAATAACCCCCTAAGCATGTAAATATATGAAAATGAACCATTAATGCAAGGTAGATAACTATTCAAATGTTCTCACAGTTCATATAGTCCCTTAAATAAATGTACATGTGTTTGTAGAATATGCATTGTGACTTTTAAAAATCAGTGTAAATTCTGCATAATTTTTCCAGCATTAACCTATTAATCAGAAGCCTTTTGACACTTACCCTTTATCACATCTATATTTTGCATATAAATTACAAACCTTAAAATCACTCACATACTCCCCCTGCCCTCCTCCTCCACAATATCCTTCAGTTCACCTGTTTATTATTGGCCATAGAAACCAACATTTTGCCTATTATCCTCCATATACAAACCAGAAACTAGGCTCTTGCCAATCCCAACTAGCTGTTTTGTCCAATAGACACCAATGTATCATGTCTCATCCTTCATGGTCAGACCAGAGGCACAACTATTTTTCTTCATCCACTATTCCATTCTGAGGTTGAAAACAAAATCTGTTACTTCCACCTTAATTATATGTCCTGGAAATATATAGCCCTGTATCACCCCATGCCCTTTTTTCCTGTTTATCTTTTCAAAGTGAGACTCCACATTTCATATGAGATACAGATTGTAGGTGGGTTTTTCAGAAGTGCTCAGCATTGGGCTAACCAGCATCTGTTGAACTCAATGGGAGCAGAATTAGACCAGTGTTGACTGATCTGAAAATACTTAACAATATTTACCCAATCATGCTGTACTCAATAGGGCACAGATCTCAGTATAACCTTTTGATTAAATGAAGCCAGTACATTACCTAATTACCTAGGAAGAAGAGAAAGCGGGTCAAAGAAACTTGGAGAATGTTTGGTGTTTTCATCTGTAACCAGTGATTTCAAATATTCTTAAAACTGTTGTTGTTCCAATAAGCATTTCCTGTTAAATGTTAGGTGGGTAGATAATGGGAGTCTGAATTAAGGTTGTTTTTGGAATGTGCAATGTGATTTTATTTTTACACATGCATGTTTATTTCAGAGAATGTCTGAACTGTGAGGATACTTGAATATTTATCTTCCTTCCTTGAACTATTCATTTCCAGACTTTTAAATGTTTAGGCTTTTTTAAACTAGAACAATCCTTGGCGTGAATATGTTTGCGCTTCAGCGAGAGGTAGCAATCTTATCACCTATACCCTTGCTGTAATTTTTGCCTTGGATCAATGAATTTTGGTGAGGAGATGCTTGTGCTAAAAGTAACAAAATTATCTGTTTGTTAATTTCCTTCTTTTGAATATAGGGCCAATATGGAACTTAGGAGCTCTGCAAGGTCCCTACTCCACCATGACTGTGTATTTCCCTATCCTGTACAGCTCAGATAAGCTTATAAGTTTTGCAAGTGACCCCTAGTTCATGCTGTTCTAGAGGCCTTTTGCAGTGGTGCAGAATAACTGGCCCCTTTAAACCCTCTCCCACCACGGGTTCATCTGCCCTGTGGAATTTTGGAGCTCCACAGATTCCAGCGCCTTCCTTCCTCTGCCCTTCAGAGCTTTAGGGATGTGTGGAGTAACCAGTTCTCTTGGCCTTGTATTGTTTCTAAACTCCTCAGGGTTCCTGATATCTTCCCTTCTTTCCTTGCCCCGCAGAGACTGTACAAGGCATTCATGGGGCCCCATGAATTGTATAGAGAGTACAGTATTCTACCAAACAATAAGTCCAGTATTTTCTTACTCAAGTTTAAAATATTTAGACTAAGGAGAATCCATTCACATACTTGATCAAACATGTATGTGAAGAAAAGAATGTCGCAGTTGGGACCCTGAGTATACAGTAACTCCTCGCTTAACGTTGTAGTTATGTTCCTGAAAAATGCTACTTTAAGCGAAACAATGTTAAGCAAATCCAATTTCCCCATAAGAATGAATGTAAAATGTGTGTGTATGGGTGGAGGGGTGGGGGGGTTTAGATTCCAGGGAAATTTTTTTTGCCAGACAAAAGACTATATTTTATATATATGTATATACACAGTATAAGTTTTAAACAAACAATTTAATACTGTACACAGCAATGATGATTGTGAAACTTGGTTGAGGTGGTGAAGTCAGAGGGTGGGATATTTCCCAGGGAATGCCTTACTGCTAAATGTTGAACTAGCACTCAGCTGAGCCCTCAAGGGTTAACACATTGTTGTTAATGTAGCCTCACACTCTACAAGGCAGCACAAATGGAGGGAAGGGAGACAGCATGGCAGAGAGAGACAGACACTCACACTGTGTGTGAGAGAGAGAGAGAGAGAGACGCGCATCACCCCTTTAAGTATGCTGACCCCACTCTGAGTACACTACCTTTTTAAGTAGATCAGCAAGTTGAGACAGCAGCTGCTGCTGGCAGGCTCCCTCCATCTTGAGCCCTGTCGTGTCCACTCCCTTCCCCCCGCTCTATGGAGATGGGGGGCAGGAGGACACGCCTGCTTGGCAGCTGCCACACAGGGAACTTAGGGGAGTGGGGAACTGATAGCGGGGCTTCTGGTCCACTCTGGTTCCAAGCCCCCACCAGCTAGCTCCAATGGGCTGCTCTTTCTGCAAGCAGTGGACAAAGCAGGTGGCTGTCAAACAACATTATAATGGAGCATTGCACAACTTTAAATGAGCATGTTCTCTAATTGATTAGCGATGTAACAATGAAACAACGTTAACCAGGACGACTTTAAGTGAGGAATTACTGTAATTGGTTATGTGGCCATGTAAATTGCTGCCTCATTTTTGAAGTATCACAATTGTACTTCAGAATTTAAACTTTCATTTCAAAATATTGGCTATCTAGTCTGTCTGTTTCAAAGACAATCTGAAAGTGTAAGCTGAACATAAAGTGATGTCTGCCAAATTTTGCAGAGCTAGCTCTAACAGAAATATGAACTGCTGCTGTTCATCCAAATGATGGATTTACATATCAAAATGGCTAACTATTTCACGGTGTATCATTTAGTAGAAACAATCTAATGTTCATTGTCACTCTTGTTGGACATAGTAGCAGATATAGGGGAGAAGGGTTGCATTGGTGTAGCTAGTTATTCTCATGCATATATATGGGAAATCTTGGTGGGGTTGTGTGACTAAATTTCCAGTAAAGTGTTTTCAGTGACATTAGCTGTCTATGAAAAATTTGGAGAGGTATTGTTTAAAGTGAACCAAAGACAACTGGTATCATTTAAGTGCTAAAGTAAGTAGCGGTAATTCATTCTTCTATAAAATGTTGCTATCTCCTCTGCATCATAACCTTTAACATAGCAGTGACTATAATGTGAGACAGGTTAACTACATTAAAATAAAACGTTGCTGTCTATGAGAAGTGATATTAGATCTAATAGATTTTAAAATCAGTAGCCTGAATTCCACTTAGCTTTTAAAAACTAATAAAATGTGTTTGTGAAAAGTGCTAGATTGAGAACACTGGAAACTGACGCCCTCCACCCATGGAATGTATATAGCAATGGTGGTGAAAGCTTCCCCAAGCCTGTGATTCAGCCCTGTTCTTGAGGGCTGAGAGAGTAATTCAGTCTCTGACTATTCAGTCTGTGGAGCACGAGGGAGTTATCTGTATTATTTTCTGACAATCACATTTGCCTCAGTTTACCTGCTGGATATTATGCTGCCTGACTTCATGGAATTAAATCAAAGGAGGCTGTTAGGAGGGAACTAATGGGAAATGAAACAGTGACAGAGATAAGATACCTCCAGAGAGAATACAAAGGGTCCTTAAGGGAACAGTGAAAGGCCCATTAATTGGGAAATGCCTATCTGCCTGGCTTCATCCAGGCTAGCAGGTTAATTTCTCCCACGTCCAAGCCAAGGATCAAAGGGATACTAAACCATGAAAGACCCTAGCCTAGAAAGGCAGGGGAGTGAATAGGCAGCAGTGGTTGAAGAGAAGTCTCTATGTACGTCCCCATTATGTTTGAAAATCCATGGTAGCGAGTCTCAAACCTTGGGTCTATAGACATGGACTCGCACTATAGCACTAAAAACGGCAGTGTAGATATTGAGGCTTGGGCTGGAGCTAGGACTCTAAGGCCTGGGTGAGGAGGTAGGCCGACAGCCTCCCCTTTTTACCAGCCATATTAACATGGGCTTCAGAGCCTGAACCTGAATGTCTACACAACTGTTTTTAGTGTGAGCCCACGTCTATAGACCCGAGCTTTGAGACTTGCTGCCGCGGGTTTAAAAACACAATGTAGATGTACCCTCTGATAGTGAGACACAGACAGAGTGTAGCAGGGGCTGACTGTCACTCCCAAACCAGCAATAGGGGTGGCTGGGCTGAATGGGGACTTACATAAAACTTGCACAGAAAGAATAAAGTTTAGGTAAGACCCAGGGGTATAGGCTTTTTATTGTTTTATCTCTTTCTCTACTTGCTGTGCACCCTTGAGTGAATAAACAATTCCTTGTTTTGAAGAAGCTATTTGAGTCACTTTAATCAGCCCATGTCACTGGCCCTGGAGGAAAAGGGCTTACAGTAGTTAAACACAGTTGGGCCTGTTGTGTTAACACAGTTGGTAAACAAGGGGCTGCAGCCCAGAGATCCATTCTGAGAGAGGTAGGATGTGTGGTTCCACCCAAAAAGCGGGGAAGGTAGTGAAACCTGTCACCAGACGGATGCACTCATGAGGGATCAAAAGGGGTCTGAAGCACAGCTCATCCTGTAACTATAACACAGTCCTTGGTCTTTTTGCTTAGAATGCTAAGAGTGCAGATTGAGAATCTAACTAAAATAGCATTAAGAACTCAAACTATATCTTCTCATGTTCATAGTATTGGTTTCCAGAGAATGTAATTTTTTAAAAAGAGAACTGTATAGCCTGAATTGAGAGAATAAGAAAAAAATCTTACTGTTTTCCTTTAAATACTGAGAAACTAAGTAGTTTTGAGATGAACAAATTTACCATTTCCATATTTGTGGCATTTCTGCTCTAAATGTGGCTTTGTGTTTGTCATCTTGTGCTTGGGTTTTTTGGCCTTCATTGCTAAGGAACTAAATTATCATTTTGGCATTAACTAATTAAAAACTGTTGAAAGAATTCTAATTTTTCATATTTAAAAATCACTGATCCAACTGTATTCTGAGCTCTTCTTTTGCGATTCACCATCTCGCCTTCTTATTCATTGGATATTGTATGTTGTGCTTGTTATGGAGTTATACCTGAAAACATGGCAAGTTGCTGTCTTAGTTAGATTATGAGGATCCCAAAAACATCTCTAATTATCCCATGTTTAGTTTCTCACTATAGTGAATCCCACCTAAAACACGTAAGACGTACTCCAAAAGCCTTTGAAATCAATGGAAAGACATGGTTAACTTTACACACTGTGCTTAACTTCATTCACTGTGGATAGTCTCAGTGCAGTCAAGTTTAGCATGTGTGTGAATCTTTGCAGGCACTCATTTCAGTTATTTATCTATGGGATAATTGCCTACATGGCATAAGACACCTGCTAGATTGTTGATATTGTTTCCAGTGCATTTTAACATGAGTAGGGGGTATTAGCATGAGTAAATATATGAGTATTTCTGTATAAAGTGCCTTTGTTGTGATAAAGTCAAGATTGTCTCTTTAAATAAAGGCATAGAAAGATAATGTTTTACTATAGATTTTTGAAGAATTGTACCTAAAACTTTTATCACTGCCTGCTTCCACATTTCATCCATCATTTTATTTTATTTTTTCTGCTTTCTAATGGAGACACTTACATTTGAGGTAATTTTTTTGTGAAAGCTTTTTCTCATTACATTGTAATGCTGTAGTCTCAAGATAACATCAAGACCTTGTTAAACAGTTCCTGTTTGCTTATTGGTTTATTAATCAAATAAACACATCAGCCAGCACGTATTTTAAATAATTATTCAACCTCACTTTGTTGCTGTTTAACTAAACATGAGATTTTGTTTTGAACAATGGCTGGCAGAACTGTATCTTGAAATATATTTACAGTAACTCTTCTATGTAGGTTCTTGTTCTGTTTCTGGTTTAAACAGCTGCAACAGTGTTTGACCAAAATTGTGCACGTTTTTGCATTTGCACTATCACTTCTACAAAATGTCCATGTACTTTTCTGGATACTCTCACAAAACAGTGTATTTGCAAATTAGAGATCCCATGTTGTTTAGTGACAACTCTGCAACTACAACAGTATAAAGTGTGCCATTATGAAAAGTCAGAGTTAATAGCAAAATATATTTTTACAATTAATGTGTTTATACATTCTCTTTGCTCTTCCCAAAAATGTATCCTATTTTATGAACAAGACTGCTTCTTTCTGGTAACTTTTGTTACTTGCACAAAATAGCGTAAACTTTCATGGGATGTGCTATTCTTTTTCTAAAAAAGGAATTATAAAATTAACATCTGTACTTGTGACCAGAAATCTGTGGCTAGAATAACTTAAGGGAAGGAAAAGCATTTATAACAAATAATGCCATTGGTGTACTATGTGTTTCAAAGATAACACAACGTGCATTTTATTTTTCTCATTTATCTTTAAAATGCAGAAAGCTGATGTTTCTCCATATCTTTCTTTGTTGCAGAAAGATTGAAACAAAGAGTAAAAGCAAGTGAATTGGACTTGTTAGCCATTGGATGGTTTGCTTCAGACACATCTTAATTAGGAAGCTCAGTATTAACTCACATTTTATTAAAAGCAGTTACCTTTGTCTTCCACTTTAAGGACCAGATCGTGCCACCTAAATCCATGCATAGCGGGGATCCTCCACACACTTATTTCCTTCCTTCCTTCCCCATCACCTTGTCCCCCCCCCCCCTCTCTTTCCCCCCTCACCATTTCCTGTGTGCCATGCTGAGATTTCTCTGCAGTCTGGGGTCTTTGCCAGGGGAGGAGATGGGGAGTGGGTGATGCACATTGTGCATCTGTCTCTCAGAAATTAGCCCTTAAAGATGAGAGCCAAGGGCAACCATTGCTATCTGTCTAAGGTACTTATGCCCTCATCACTGTAGTATCTGAACACCGCACAGTCATTAATGTAGTTATCTTTACATCACTCCTGTAAGGTAGGGAACTGTTGTTAGCCCCACTTTACAGATAGGGAAATGAGATACAGGGTAGATTAAGTGACTTGTCCAAACTCACACAGGAAGTCGACGGCAGAACTGGGATCTGAACCTGGTGTCTTAAGTCTCTTCTAGTGCCCTATCCACTTGACCATTCTTCCTGGCTGGGTAGAGATCTTGGCAACACTGCTGAAATGGAGCCAAGAGATCCCAGTTCCACTGAGAGTCAGAGCCATCGGAGACACAAGGCCTCCATGCAGATCCTTTGGGATCTGCCAGGTTTGGGGGTGGGCTCCTTGGCCTTTTCCACTGGAGCGGGCAAGCAACCATCTTCCTGATGGGATGATGTGAAAGGATCTCAGCAAGGGGATTTCCCCCCCTGCCCCCGGTATTTCCATGGGTAGTGATCTGGGCCAAAATTTGCACATATCGTTCATGCAAATTAAAGACATATTCTTTTTTGCAAGCTGGTTTATATGCTCCCCCCCCCCCCGACCTCCTGTCTATATTTGGGCTATCAATGTAATTGATTATTAATCGTAACTGTTTTTTACATTTTTTTTTTATTAAGGTCACCATAAATCAGCTAAGGGCTGAGCTTGCAAAAGGCCCTCAGGAGGTTGCTGTGTATGTGCAGGAACAACAAAAACTTCAAAGTTCAATTAATGAATTAGCACAGAAAAACCAGGTAAGAGTTTTATTATTAATCACATTTGTAAAACTGGTATTTATGTGAAAATGTACAATCTGGCACTTGTGTCACAAACTGCATTTTAGAGTGTTAACCAAAGAGTTTAACAAAATACATCATTGTGGCATCAAAAGTTAAGCCTTTCCTGATTGTTCATTATCCCGATTAGCCTGAAGGGGGTAATAAATTTACAATACTGTAGTACATTTGAAGGATTTTATCTTACATTATAACTTTTAAAGATAGTCATGTCCATTACAGTTATAATTGTAGTTTTCTAATATCTGCCATTTACACTCTATATAGTATTGCCAAAACAAGCATTAAAAAATCATTAGTAAGTTCCCGAAATATTAGGAGATTGGCTTAAACATAATTACATTTAAAAGGAAATTATATACTTTTGGGGGTTCTTTTTATATGCCATCTGGTTCCTGAGCCTTTAGGTCATACACAGGTCACATTTTGAAGCTTTTCACAACTGTGAAGGCTAGGAATTTATTTATTTATTTTTTATAATAAAAGCTGAGATTCTCAGCTTGAAGAGCCAGGGTTTTCAGAAAAACATCAAATATTGCCAAATTTATGATAAAATCCTGAGTTGGCATCATTGCATATGTAATATATAAATGAACACACACATGTACAATAGAAACTCAGAGTTACGAACACCTGAGTTACAAAGTGACCAACCACACACCTCATTTGGAAGCAGAAGTATGCAGCAGCAGAGACAGGAAAAAAAGAAAAGAAAAAGCAAAAACACCACAGTACTGTGTTAAACGTAAACTACTAAAAAAATAAAGGGAAAGTTTAAAAAAAAAAAATTGACAAGACAAGGAAACTGTTTCTGTGCTTGTTTCATTTAAACAGAGATGGTTAAAAGCAGCATTTTTCTTCTGTGTAGTAAAGTTTAAAAGCTGTACTAAGTAGTGTTCAGTTGTGAACTTCTGAAAGAACAACCATAATGTTTTATTGAGAGTTATGAACATTTCATAGTTATGAACAACCTCCATTCCAAAGGTGTTTGTAACTTTGAGGTTCTACTGTGTATTCCCTAAAGAAGAAGTGGGGAAAAATAGTAAAAGGAGACCGAAGAGAAAGAGGAGACAGGAAAACAAATCAGAGAATTTTTCTACAATTTTATGGTTGTTTCCCCATTATAACGCATGTTTGTGTACATATAAAACATTTGAATGTATTTGTACTATATGGTGACAGGTTTCCGAGTGGTAGCCGTGTTAGTCTGTATCAGCAAAAAGAACGAGGAGTACTTGTGGCACCTTAGAGACTAACAAATTTATATGTAATAGAATAAATGGACACAAATCAGATGTCAAGAATTATAACATTCCAAAACCAGTCGGAGAACACTTCAGCCTCCCTGGTCACTCGATTTCAGACCTCAAAGTCGCAATACTCCAACAAAAAAACTTCAAAAACAGACTGCAACAAGAAACTGCAGAATTGGAATTAATTTGCAAGCTGGACACCATGAAATTAGGCTTGAATAAAGACTGGGAGTGGATGGGTCATTACACAAAGTAAAAACTATTCCCCATGCTATTTTTCCCCCCTACCGTTATTCACACCTTCTTGTCAACTGTTGGAAATGGGCCATCCTGATTATCACCACAAAAGTTTTTTTCTCCTGCTAATAGCCACCTTAATTAATTACTCTCATTATAGTTGGTATGGCAACACCCATTTTTTCATGTTCTTTGTCTATCTTCCTACTGTATTTTTCACTGCATGTATCCGATGAAGTGGGTTTTAGCCCACGAAAGCTTGTGCTCAAATAAATTTGTTAGTCTCTAAGGTGCCACAAGTACTCCTCGTTCTTTTTGTATTATATATGATTATAATTTTCTGTGTGTGCATTTGTGTATGTGTGTATTTATTTATTTATTTATGTGGTGGCAACATTAGTAGTTTAGGGTAGGCCTGTGAAATAATTCTCCCCACTTGTTGGAATTATTTATATTTGAAATTATTTATATTAATGTGGGAAACCACCAAACTCTAATTTAACCACAAATTCCTTTATTAAATCCAAAGACCAAATGGTGTGTGTACAATTGCTCCAAACATGCCTAAAAAGCCTCAATAATAAGCAGTTTACTACATCCAAACAGTAACAAAACATTTATAAAGATTTGGTCAAGATATTTATAAATGGGCTAAACCCAAGGATGCTTAGAACCATATTTGTTGGCTCCAATGTGGTCAGGCAAGTAGTGGCAATGAATCCTTTGAGTTTACTTTTTTTTTATACTCTTCAACAAATAAGTACTGTCATTGCAAATTACTGTCTTCAGTTACAACCAATTTGAGACAATTTCCCCTTATTTCTAGTCCTTATTCAGCTAAGATTTACAGCTTCCTTTCCTCCCCTCCTTCTTGCAGTCTGACAGTTTGTTCTGGATTCACACAGACTTCAATGCTGGTGTGTGGGGTGGGAAGGGCCAAGCTGGCTCATTTTAAGACAGATTCTTTTTGTCTTATTTAAAACCATTTGCACTCACCCCTATTGGTCAGAGACCTTCTTTTTAGAAGCTTTTCCTTTATATCATTTGTTATTCTTTGAACAGACATCTTCCTTATTTTATTCCTTGTGTCCTTATCCTTTCCTTCTACTTGCTAGTCAGGGCCTTCCTTTACAACACACACATCTTTTAGTAACCAAACTCAAGCTAACAGTAATTCTTTAATTTCATATTTATTGAACACCACCTGAAGCCTAAACAATTGCTGTCTACGAGTATTTATTTATTTTTGGCCAAATTATGACATAGCTAATGCAGTGGTGTAGGGGTGTCCGTATACAGCTAGTAGTGCTGAAGGGGAAGGAGACTGTGCAGGACCACTGTGTCCTGCCCTTGTGCCAGCTAAGTGGGAAGGGCAGAAGAAGGCAAGGATAGGTTAGAGCTGTGCCAGCGTGTTGGGGAGCATACACTGCTTCCTCTGGGTAAAGGCCCAGCATGATTTACTCTCTTCTTGGAGCAGCAGGGAGACTCCTGGGGCAGGAGTAACAAGGTGTTGCCCATACCTTTGAGCTCATGGCAAAGTCACAATTGAGCCGTTTATTGTCACATCACTCTGCACTAACGATTTAGTGGAGGGCTGCACTTTCAAGTTAACTGACACATTTAACATAAAAATGTGTATTGCGGGCTATCCAGGTCCTCCCCCAACCTTTCTGCTGCAGAAGTGGTCCTATATCTATGTTTGTATCTCAATGTAAGTGCATATGTGAGTGTGTATTTCGATGTATGGGTATATATGTAGAGAACATCATAGATGTGGTAGTCGTAGCCATGTGCTCAATTAACATGCCTGCCTCACTTGCTCTCTGCTCATTAATGCATCTCAACTGGGCTTATTTCTGATTTTCCTCATCATTAAATAGATTTAAACAGCCATGTTAACCTGACAGATAAATATTTTTTTCTTTCCTTGACTTGTGGAATTTCCCCTCTAAAATCACAAGCAGTACTCCTGGAATGTAATATGTTTAAAGCTCAATGTGTTGCGACTCCATAGAACTGTAAATGGGAGCATTATAACACAGAAAAAAGGAGAATCCCAGCTTGCCAGTGGGAGTCAGCATTTGATTCTAATTATGGAAGGTCTCAAGTTATCCAGTTTCAAAGCCCCGTTGATTTTAGATAAAACTCTTTTAGGTTACTTTTAGGGTTCTTTGTGGCTTACTCTGAGGCTGCCCTGTACAGTTGGACTTAGGGCAAGTGAATCGCTCGTTTTTCAGTTGTCTCTTTAAAAAAACTCCTAGTAAAAAAAACCTTTTAAATTTTTTTTCGTTAACCTGTGTGGCATATGCAAAACATGGTGGGTTGGTAGGGTATAAAGTTTTCCTCAGGACATGTTTAGACCTGTATAACTTCCTCAGGCTTCACTGCTAATGAGTAATGTGCCATCTCAAACTCTTGCTAATAAATCCTTTATACTACACCACAACATTGTGTATTTTCTGCATATTTTATTTTATCTTATCCAAGTTCTTATACTTTACACATCACAATGATATCAGAGTGCCTATTTTATATATCTATATATAGAGATATATAAAATATTACATATATATAATATATAAAATATAATCACAACTCATGTTTAGTTAGTGTAGTCAATGAAGCATTTCAGTGTGTTATTAAACATCTCTGTTATTTTGAAAGCTACATACCTTTTTCTCATCAGCTGTAGCCTGTGTGAGTGACGTAATTTATTCCTCCTCTGTGGAGATGAAGCATTTTTTCCAGGGCTCTGTATTTATTTCACTATTGTATAAATGTCTTGTGAATAAATCCAAGACATGTTTACTGTATTTGGCAAATCATTCAACATATAAAAGGCAGGCTTTTCTTTTTTCTCTAACTTCATTTTTTTAAATGTTACATATTTCCTCCCCTCACAGTTGCTTTTGTAATTCTGCATTGCCAAAAAATTTGGATAAATTCCCCCTGCAAAGCATAATGCTCCACTGAATGTTTTATTGTATTATCTACTATTCTGCCAAAACAAAACTGGGACAAATCAATATGGAAAACGTTCAGGTCAAGTTTGTCATAGTGATGTTAACTCTTAACTTGGAAGCTTAGCAGATGCCTATGCAATATTCCTACTCTTACATTAACGTGAAGTGCACAATAAAAGTACAGGCTTCTAACCCCAAAGTCTCCTACATCATAACTCTGAATACTACCTAGTGACCTGTGCTGTCCAGATGCTTTTCTTTGTTTGCATACTCCCACAATGTCTGTCTCTGTGTGTGTATGTGGAGATAAGCAAGACCAAATATGGAATTCAGTTGTGATGGAGCACTTCCTTAGAAGGATGAATCATAGTACTTGGTGTGTTGCTGGCAGAGTAGTTATTATATAGCACATTGCCCAAATAGTGTCTTGGGAAAGGAAGCATATTCATATTTAGGAAAATAGAACATAGAATGTCAGTGGGGAGCAGGGACTGAGACCAAACAC